GGTCAGTTGAGGAGCAACACTGGGGCTCACTGAGAGACGAGGACAGAAACAAACTCGTTTCCATGAAGCAGATGCTTTGGAGCACCCCACCCACCACATACCTAAGGCTCTTCTCACTCCTTCCCCAGTTTAGTTCAGATGAAGAGTGAATTAAGGAATAGTTTGCTTCTGGTCCAAGTAAGGATTAGAAGATTAGACATATAGCATTTCAAATTGTCACTCTAGAATGCTTTACAATAGCTCAATTTTAGAAGTTGAGCATACATTTTGTTTATGCTTAAAGGGTTCAGGGATAAAAAATCATGAAGTCATAGGGATTTTTTGCTTTAAGAGTAGAAGAAATGGCTCCTGTGGTCATAATAAACAGGGATTATTATCATTTGGAGAGAAAAGGGTGTGATGGTCTCTTAAGGTTTTTTTTTTCTAAAATGTAAGATTCTTGTTTGACTCACCAACTGTTTTTAGACCTCTTTGGACAATGAAACACACCCTATTTCTTTTCACTGAAGTATTAGTCTGTTCTAGTTGCCTGTGACTTGCCTGTTAGCAAGTAAGAAAACAAAACCCGTTTACTATCCTAGAGCTTGGGCTGGGATGTAGGGAAACAGTAGACAAAGCATTCAGCAGTCCCACAGGTTTTAGAGAAAGCTGTACTAATGCCAAACTTTCTGTTGCCAATAAGCCTCTAGTGTAAGAAATACTGGTAGGAGTTTGAGGTATTATGGAGGTACTGGGTTAGGTACATAATGAAAAGCTATGTGCTCACTTTCAAACTGCAAAACCCTTCTTTTGGTGTTTTTGTGAAACTTTCTTGAAGAAAATTCAGCTGCACTAAGACACAAAATCCAGACCCAAACCTATTTTGGCAGAACTGCCAAGTAGAAAACTACAGTGCCTGGAAACACATTCTTTAACTCTTCACTAAATCAACTCTATTGTGGTCTTCAGAATCTCCTTTCTCCAGAATAAAACATTATTGCGGCCAGTTGCTTCATTTCTTCCTGCTGGAGAACCTCAGGCAGGAAGAGGGGATTTCACTCCTGCTATGGATGCCAGCACTAGCCAGGTATGTTTAGTGGAACTTAACCTCTGGAAGTGGTGGTGGCTCTGCAGGCATAGCAGGAGGGTAACATGTGAAACCTGATGGACACAGCAGCTCAGGCTCACTTTCTTCTTTTCTCTGGCCTTTCCTAATAACAAGTGCAATATCAAATACACTGCAGCTAAACTTACACTTTAAAATTAGTTTGCTTGACTGAATTTCTGTTCCACTATATGCTTGGCTCATCTGCCCTAAAAGAAATTCAACTATACCTGTCCCTTAGGGGCAGATGCTGATCTGATGAGGGTCAAGTTGCCTTGGTCTGTATTATGCTCCCAAATTGGGGGTGCGAGCTTTTTCCCCTTCTGTCCTAGAGACATGCCTCTCAAGCTCACACATCCCCAGTTGCTACCCAGTGCTAAAACATTTTCCCAGCTTGAAGGAGTCAGAAACTGCAGCGTGATGTACCAGCCAGGAGTATATAGATTGCCAGTACTATAGCAGGGGAAATTAGTCCCTCTCTCTTGCATCCAGGTTTCTTATGTGACTCACTTTAATGGGAAATTAAACTTCCCTTGTTCTGATAGATTCATAGCAGCTAATTCTCAGCTTTTACAAAATACTCAGGGCAAATCTTCCAAAGGTCAAAAGGCATTTCTGGCAGCATACAGTCACTCCCTTGCCTGCTAATGGGTCTCTCTCTTAGGTGGTGCAGGCAATTAATATTGTTCACATTAGCCTCAGCTCAGCATTGGCCTCTATTGCCAGAGTATGTCATGGAGAGGGAGTGAGCTGAGGTGTCAATTTGCCCAAGTTTTTATAAGTGAAAATGATGGCATCTCGTATCTAAGGACTGCAGAGCATGTTACAGCCATCAGTTAACGTAGGCTCAGATCTAGAAAAGGTCTCAGCAGGGGTTTACTTTGCTCACAAACCAGGAGCCCTCCCAGCCATTGCCTACACTTACTGCACATTTTACATCAGCAGGCCGCCGGGGAGAGAAAACCCCCTGCCCTAAAATGGAAGGCCTGAACCCTGGAGCTTCTCCTTTGCCCGTGCCCTAATCCTGGGGCTGTTATTTCTCTTGCTGTCACTCCGTGGCCCCACAACTTCATGTTTCATTTATGCAGCAAAATTGCTTCAAGGGGAAGATCAGAGAGCAACCTGCCTCCATCACCTGGAGCTTTGCCTCCCAGCCTGCTCCTCAGAGATGTTTTACAGAATTTGAACCTCCTGTTACCGAAGGCTGAGAAGGACTAAGGAACCAACTCTTAATTTCTAATTAGTAAGTTACCAGCTTTTCATTAATAATCTAATTAGCAGAGAAGACTCTGCTCCTGACCCCAGAAGATACAGCCCAGCTGGGAACCCACCTGCAAAGGGCCAAACCTTTGTCCTGGCCCTCAGGGGCTGATTTGCAGCAGCTGCCCCTCTCCCACTGCTGGAGGCTCCAGTTAACCCCAGTTAACCCCAGTTAACCCTCCCTCAGCATCCAGGGCTGCTGCGCACTGGATTTTACCTCACATAAACAGCGCCAAAAAGGAAGGCCATTTCTCAAAGGTGGCCAGACCCTCTGTGGGTGAACACTGGGGAAGGACACAGTCACCCTCATACCGGTGCGCCATGCTGGGCCTGGCAGCGGCCTGCAAACAGTTAACCCCGTGGGCCGTTAATTAACCACACAGGAGTGGTTAATTACCCCTCCAGGGGACAAATAAGAGCAGCTGTAAGCAGAGCGCCAAGGCAAGAGGGACGGGTTGCTGCAGGATGATGTGTTGTGTGGGACTGAAGGTAAAAAGGTTAGTTATTTTATTTTTTTTTAAGATAGTGCTGTTTTTTTTGCTCCTCTTAGGGGGTGGTTGCTGTTTCTGAAGGCAAATGGTTGTGATATGTGGCGTTTTGGCTGTGAGGGGCTGGAGGCTGTGGTGTGGGGCCCTTCTGTGGTGAGGAGGGAGGCTATGGCGGCAGGCCCTGCCCCGCTCCTCGTGGCTGTGGGAGCGTGGGGAAGAGCGAGCTCCAGCTCCTCCTTCCCCTCTTGGAGCCTTGGTGGGGTGTCCCCTTAGCCGTGCTGTGCCCGGTGCAGAAATCAACTGCTCATATTGGCTCAGACCTTGTGTTACTGCAAGCGTTAACTTGGAGTGAATCATCTACCCCATGACTTCGCTGCTTTTAATTTTTTTTTTTTTAAATGACTCTCTTGTGAAACAGGATGCAGATATGCCTTTGTTTCTTTCAGCCAACACCTACTTCTGGTTGGTCTGGTAGCTCACTCAGCTGTTTGGCCCCTGTTTGTGGTGCTTAAGAGACTGTGCAAATCTCGGTGCTCTCATGCAAAGGCTGTGCACACTGTGGTACGGCTGGTGCTGTTGTCTATACCCTAATAAAAAACACATGGCCTTGTTTATAAACTTCTGAAGTGCTTCTCTTGAGACTTGGACTTGGTGGAAAGCTGGGCCCCTGAAGGAGCAATGGGAGATGGTTGCTCATTTTTAATCATAAAGAGCTATAAGAATTTTATTTTAATACTGCTAAGATGGCTTTCTTCTTGGAAAAAAAAAAAGGATGAAAAAGAAGGCAACCTACCTGATTTTTTTTATAAGTGGTAAACTTTTTGCAGTTATATAGAGCATTGTGATTGCTACTGGTAGCTTCTGCTGGGTTTAGTTTGAATTCTGATCCATCTCAAGTATTAATTTATACTCATGTGATGAAGGTGCTGGAGCAGGGTTATTGCTGCATGTAAGGGCTTAGGCTTGGAAGGCCAGTGTTTTCCCTCAATTTTAGTCCAGCATATAAGTAAAGGAAGAAGTGAGCTGTGAGCAGTAGACTAGCAGCTGTTGGGGAAGCTATCAAACAACATCATTCCCAGCAGGAAACCTCTGCTGATGCTGAGGAACTCAAAGTGGTTGGCAGTTCCTTTGAATGCTTATCCCTTTGTATCTGCCTACCTGCCTTCTCCTCCCAATGTTTCTGCTTATCTCTACTGGTGCAGCAGCCATCCGTGGTGGGGCAGAGCAGAAAGGGGTGGCAGCTGGCTCTGTTGGATGAGCAAGCCAAGGGAAAAGTGTCAGTCACAGGAACTGGGGAGACTTTTCACCCTACTGAAAATGGGGGATGGATACTTCTAAGTAACCCTGGCGACTGCAAGCAGACAAGTCAGAAAAGGACTGGACCATTGTGATAATGGGGAGTGGTGAGAGAGGTGGAGCTGGAGATGCAGACAGGGGAATCTGTAATCTTTGGTCCATCTGCCTGGTGTTACTTGCTAGGTTACAACATAACAAATCCAGCGAAAGCATGTTCTTGAAACCTCAGGTCCCCTCTTCCAAACAGGGAAACTTTTTGTAATTGAAGGGCATGCACCTTTGAAACTTTGTCCTAGATTCAAGTTCATTGAATCAACAGCCAGTTCTGCCATTACCTGAGCAGTTAATAAAATCTATTGCCTTATGATGGATTTTTTTCTGCAGGCTAGAATTGATCTGTCTTCGTTGTGATTTGTGAGATTGAGGGGAAAACACAAAATATAATCTGTATTTCTGCTGCACTGTAAGATTTCACTTCTAAGGGTTGGAAGTAACTAAAACTGCAGTGGTCATTTTTTTGATTTATAGAAAATAAAGCGTAACTTATTAACATTTTAATAAAGAGAATCTCTTTGCAGCGGTGCTCAGAGTTGCTCTTATTTCTCTCTGTGCAATTCCATTCTCTAAAAGGGAAAATACTGTTGAGATCTGTAAGGCATGATTTGTTAGACTGAAACTAAACACACAAATACACCAAAGCAAAATGCTTTCTAAAGGTGCTGTGTTTGTGAGAGGTGCTTGCCCAATATGTGTGATGCAAAATGGGGATGCTTTGTGAAGAAATCATCCTTGTAAAGCCATTGGTTCTGGTCATCAGACTCTATCCAATGCTTTAGTGATGATGCTGCTGATCTATTTGGGAAGTTGGCTGGCTCTCAAGGCAGAGTCTCTTCTCAAAGGCTGTTTCACAGTGAAAATATGCTCAGTGCAGCCGAGTGCATGAATGAAAAAGCCTCTGGTACCTTCTAGTCTGGCAAAATGCAGCACAAAACTCTACTTACTCTGTCCTTTCTGCTGTCCCAGGTAAGAAATGTGTGGTTTTTTTCCTTGCTTTCTTTCATCTTCCCTCTCTTGTGCATTTGGATTTGAAAGTATTTGTAATTCAGGTCTGATTTCTGAGTAATTATACATTGCTTGAATTACTGTTGAAAGATGCAAGATCTCTGCTATAAGCCAGTTGCTAGGAATGTAGAATCTCATAGTTCCTTGATTTACAATTACAACAAATTTGCTGTGTGATATATAGCATTTTTTTGTTTCCCTTCAGGAAGGGTGGTGGGGGGAATCTTTCAAGTGTCACGGTTGCAGCTGCAGCAGCAATATTTTCTGTCATATGAAATGCTGCAACTTTGATTTGCCTCTTTCCTCTGTGGCTTTTGCCGGGTAGTAGGCTTATAGGCTGTTATAGGCAGCTCACATTATTTATTGCCTTTTCTTTTTTCTTTTTTTTTTTTTTTTAAAAAAAGGAGGAGGGGGATAATATGGAGGAAAAATAAAATCAGACCTTGCAAAAGGTTCCCTTCCCCGTACTCTCTTGATAGATGTGTAATACTCTGTTAGTGACTTGCTATGTAGCCTTTCTCTTATTAAATGTAATAGATCCCCCTCTGCCAGAAAGCAGAGGAAAAAACACCCAGCCTTAACAACACGGAGCCGCTGCTGCTGTCTGTCAAAGCAAAGGGACTCTCTGGGCTCTGACTTCTCGCTACCTTCTGGTTGCTCTCTTTTCCTCTCGCTGCTGTTACAGGGCTCACTTTTTGGGAAGCTCTGTGGAGGTTTGAAAATCCTTTGTTGTTGTTGTCCAGTTTAAGACAAAAGAAAGACAGATGCATTTAGCAGCTCTGTAAACTTGCATTTAGTGACATTGACGCTGGCATCCTGTGAGCTGAGTAGAGATAAAAGTTAATTCCTTTTTGACTTGCGATTCAGTGGTTTTGTTAACCCTTAGGGGGGTGGTAGGTTTTACAGAGTCAAACTAGTTGTCGGGACACCGAGTCTGCACTTGTGTTTGTGTAACTGCAGTCGCCTGCAGGCATTTAGTCTGCTTTTTCCAAAATAGGATGATAGGGAGAAAAATGATGAGGGATCATGTTGGGAGAGCTTTATTGCTGAGAGGAGAGACACCAAGAGTAAGTAGGAAGCAGTAGGGTGAACTGAATGCATATATACTGTGGATCAAGGACAGAATATTTGGGTCCTGGCTTAAAGTGATGAGTAAAAGCATGAATGTGGGTGTCTGAAGTTATGGGACAGTGGGAGACCCGGTGACTAGGGACTCATGAGCAAGCGCACAGGCATTTGCGTGGGTTCAGGGTAACAATCCTGCTGCAGGGAGTTAACACATGAGAGCAGCTGCGGTGGGCCAGGCGTATGGTGCCTGAACGCACTGCTGAAGGATGAGTTTGAGGAGTCAGAGCCCCATGTGCTGGTGATACACACAAGAGTTTCTTGCAGGGCCTCCCTTACCGCTCGGGCTGAGGCTCTGGGGGCTGTGTAGGAGGGCTGGCCAGTGGGCAGCTCGCCAGCCCTGCTGAGACTGGCCGCAGCGAACCGGTAGGCTGCTACTCCAGGGGAGGGCTGAACGCCGCTCCGGTGGGCCGGGGATGCCCGAAGGGCTCCTGGGGAGGAGAAGTTGACAAAGTGGGCTGAGATCCAGCCTGGAAGGGCAGCTGGTGAGAGGCACTGCTCAGGGAGCAGAGGGGCTGGGCACAGACAGTGTAGAGGTAACCTGTGGATGTACTGAGCTGGTGCTCCCTCACCTTGGGTATGAGGATTGCCATCTGGACTGCAGTTTGTTCGGTTTCCTCTGTGTTTTCAGTTCTTTTTTTGTCTGTCTTCTCTCGCACACTACTGAATTAATCAGCTGGAGTTTGGATTTCCTTTAGCAGTCCCTTGTAGAAGAAGCAGTATGTGTATGATAGAGGACAGACTTCCAAGGCCTATTAAACCACATTTTTGACATCAGTGTCTACTTAAAATCTGACAAGGTGCAGAACACCTGATTCTGAAAACAACTGTGCACTTTATTGATAACTTTCAGCAATACATCAGAGTTTCTTCTCTTACTGGGTTGAGATGAGTTCTAGCATACCGCAGGGCTGAGCTTGTGGTGCTTTAGCATTGCTTTGTATTTCAGTGCTTAAACTGCCCCCCCACCTTCTTTATTAGCCTATGTAGCTTTTTCTGACAATGTCTCTACCTGGTGTTTTTATACCAAGTTTACTTTATAGATCATGTCTAAGAGTTAATGAATTAGACTATAACAAGGCAGCGTACGGAATTCTGTCTTCGGGTTTAAGGTGGTTGAGAATTGGCATGTTAAAAGTATGAACTGAAGATGACAGCATGCTAGGGAAAGGGAATTACTGAAATGTTGTTTGGCTTTTCTCTTTGACACACCACATGCACAACTTTCATGTGACAGGAAAAGTAAACAGAAGAATGTGAGAAACAACATATTAAACAAATGCAGCCATCTGGCTGTGTAGTGGTTGTAACACATTTTGGGATTTTTTTAATAAGTTTTTCTTTTTTTTTTTTCCCTCCCCTAGCAGTAGCAATAATGCCTCATATAATACAGTGCTAGTGGAACCAGCAAAGCTCAATTTTGGTAAAATGATTTCTAAGCACTAGCAATCTACTAATGTAATACTTTCTGTGGAAGTAGAACATAAGAATAACTTCATTTTGAAGTAATGATAACAAAGTTTACAGTGTAAGAAAAAAGTTTGAGGAAAGTCTTATGTTCATGAGAACATGAACTAAAAGTTTTATTTTCTATTAAAAGATCACTTCTAAATTTAGTAACTTCGTTTTTGTGTTTTTTTTTGGTCTGTATCTAATTCAAGTGCATTTCTAAAATATAAAAAAAATTTTGAGGCATTAGAAGGATGAGGAGGGGGAATCACTTTTTAGTCTCAACAAAGCAGCCTATTAAGTATGTTTGTAAAAATTGTGATAAACAGGTTGGCAATAAATTATTTTTTCTTTTTGTAAAGACTTAGTCTGCAATACTACCAAATGTTTGTCCTGTTTCACCAAGAGGAAAACTGAACATGAACTGCAGTAGCTGAGGAAGATGTTTCAAGTAATCCTTTAATTCAGGATCACCTTTAAAACTACAAAGCATATCTATAATATACAGCTTTATTGATCTGAAGCTGTCAAGAAAAACTAAGTGTACTCTGGTAGCTTGAGCAGTTCACTATACAGTGTGCAGTAAGCTGTAAATACAGATTTTTAAATTTATCTGATCAAACTAGTTTTTATATTTTTTTTTTTCCCCAAAGGATAATTTCTAAAGGCCTATATACAAAATACTTGTTTTAAAACAAGAGTTGTTCACAGGCTTGCTTTTGTATGTTGTGCACTTCATGTAGACCGATGAATCAACATAAAATTTGTAAGTAAAGCTTACAAGAGAAGAAAAAAATTTATTTTGATAGCTTTAACAATAACTGTTATGTTCCACTGGGTTGCAACTAAGTTAATTAGAAAAAAATGTATAAATTTTAAAAGCTTTTCATTATAGTGAGTAGAGAAAATTAGTCCTAAAACTCTTTCCCCAAATGCATAGCCCACACTGCTGCATTCTTAAGCTTTTTATTTTTTCAAATTTCTCCAGAAGAGGGCTCCATGCACAGCTTGAAAGTCAGGCACCCATGTATTAAAAGAAAAAGAAATTTTAACAGCTTCAGGAAAAAGAAAAATCTTGCTCACACAAAGTCTCTTGATATAACATTAAAGATTACGCTCAAATTCTGACCAAGTATTTCCCTGCTGTATAATGTTGCTGTAGGTATTTTTTTTTTTTTTAAGACTGCTTATTATTTGAGAGTTCTAGAGAAAAAATCCTACATCTCTGGTGCTATATCAGAGTTGAAAAATGTTTAAGAAACTCAATTGCCAATTATTATGTATAATTATTTGTACTGATGAGCGTTTTGTGAGCAGGCTGATTCTTCCTCCTGACAGTTTCAAGCCATCATTTTTGGTTCCATAGTCAAAGAGATCTTCTACTTGTATATCTCATTCAAAAGATGTCTCCCAAAACACAGAGCCATTCTAGTAGTCATGCTGTGCTATTTGTCAAATACTGCCTTGAAGGGAAGGTTGGCCCCTGGTGAATTAGTATGACTTTAGGCAATAGCACTAACCTTTTAAAGATATTCTTAGATAGGACTTGACCAGACTCCTTACTGGGCAGAGTTGTTACCATACATGAGTGGAAACTGGTTGTGAAAATGCTCCTAGCGTTATGGTGTTACAATTCAACGCCCTTTGTCGTGTACCACTTGAGACTCTGTCTTTCAATTTAAGATGTAGCTCAGGCAATATGTTGGGAACTGGTTTCTGCTTCTGATGATCAAAAATTAAAAAAGCTTATTCTAGCACATGTAATATCTTTGTGCCATGACCCTCTAGGGGTTATTGACTTGATTTTTAGTGACTTGTCAGTTAGGAAATGAGTATTTCTAAAATGTATCTTAATAGACCAGTGCACCAGGAGCTATTAGAACTCTGTAGCAGTAGTGGTGCCTGTTTGAGAAGACATGAAGTTCTGCCTTTTGTTTTCTTCCTGTTTGTTGTTAGATAAGTAGGCTCTTCCCATTCTATTAATATGTAAGGGCAAGCTAGATGACAGCTGATATACTCTTGCTGCATCACTGCTGGAGTCACTACTCTTCAGCTGCTGGGTTCTACCAATGTGCTGTGTGTCAGGATTTTGGCCTCAGGTTTCAGAGTTCCTATGTCAGCATAAGCCTTTGAGGAGGAGGGAGGCTTCATTTGGGTCTTGAGATGGAAATATGAGGTTAGTGTTGTGTGTTTTTTTTTTTTGTTTCATGGAAATGATTACTTCATTCCATCTTTGACAGGTACAAGTACTGAATTCACTTTTTCGTACATCACTAGTATTCTAACCAGCAAAACTTCATCTTTGCAGGCAAAAAGACAAATCTACCATGTCCACTGGGGAGGAGAGACAGAATGAGAGGGAATTTATCATCCTTGGGAGACTATGC